TTCCCTTTCAATCGTTTTTCAGTTGCTTCCATCTTCTTCACAGCTTGTTCTCGGTTGTCGGGAAGGGTTTTGGGGTCAGTTTTCCAAGGGTACGCCATTTCCCATCTATTTCCAATTAGCTTGCATCCTTGCTCGATTAGTTTGGTTTCTTCTTGCTCGATCTTGCTCAACTTTCCATGCATTTCAATATTTGATTGACTAACTCCCATTGCTTCGCTCGTCCAGAAGTCAGTGAGATCTACAGGTCTTGTATACTGGACATGAAATACTCTACTGGTTTGCTGCAAGCCTGGTATCGCTCCAAAAATAATCCAACCAAGAGGTGAATGTCTCGCAACAACGTTACCGACTTTCTTTGAATCTCCAGTATGCATATAAGCGTGATCAATCCCAATAAGCATATCGATTGGGCCACATTCTCGGTAAATTTTCACTTCAGGGATTCCAATACCTTTTACCATTTCATCAATATTGATATTTGAAATGTCATCGCTAATATATGGAATTCCAACAGCTTTGACTGTGAACTTCGCACCAGACTCCAATGACGTAATGGGAACTTGATATACTTTTGTCGCCAACATTTCTTCTTCACCGCCCACTTTTCTAATAGTTATCGAAACATCCTTTCCTTTTAAATCCAAATTCTTTGCTGTACTTGTGCAAATCAGACTTATTTGTGCTCCAGAGTCGAGTAGAATGTTCCCTTGTTTGTGTCGATTGTTCTTTCCAGATATCTTCACTGTTATAACTGGCAGCATTGCTTCCGTGTTGTTTTCTACCGATGCTACACCCACTGATGCTGCAGGATTTGAAGGATGCAAAAGAATATGATGATAATATTTACATTGAACGCCACTTATTTTCTGTGTACACTGCTTCCTTCTGCTACAGTTTGATGCCCTGTGGTCACGTCCGGCCTTCTTAAGACAACTGAAACAAGCGTGGTTTTCTCTTACTGTTTTCAAACGGTCCTCTGGACTCATGGACTTAAATTTTTCACATTGGTCTACCCAGTGCGTTGAATTGTCGCAGATCCAACACTTTGGTGGTTTTCCTCCAGATAGCTGATTGACATAACTCGAACCCTGACTCGGATTTCTCAGTGGAGCAGTTGCACGCATCCTCGACTTCATTTCCGTCTCCATCCAAGCAACGAGACCTTGTAAGCTTGCTGGCTTTTCATTCCTTTCCAATTCACGAGCCCAAATCTTTCTATCTTCCACACACATTTTCTGTTCTATTAGTGATAACATGTGATTGTTATCCATATCATGGGGTTTTCCCACTCCCTTCATTGTATTGAAACTACGCTTTACTAAATGCACCAGATCACTAAAGCGTGAATCTTCTCCTTCTTTCAGGGGTCGGAACTTTGACAGATCTTGGGTTACTTGGTCCGACACATATCTGGGGTCTCCATAGATTGAGTCTAAATATTGCCATGCACCATCATAATCTGTACCAATTCCTTTGATAAGCTCTAGGGGTTTTCCCTGCAAGCATGCACGAAGATACGTCATTGCATCTCGTTTACTGTATCTAGATTCAATAGCATGCTTAAAGTCATCTCGAAAAATACTGTACTCTCTGACATCACCACTAAATCGAGGCATTTTTGGCTTCTCCATTTTGAAACCACAAACAGGTTGAACATTTGAAATACTTTGGGCACCCTCACTTGAACTATTGTGTTCTTGACCTTGGTGGGTTGGGGGTTGACCTTGGTGGGATGGGGTTTGACCTTGGTGGGATGGGGGTTGACCTTGGTGGGTTGGGGGTTGACCTTGGTGGGATGGGGGTTGACCTCGGTGGGATAGGGGTTGACCTTGGTGGGTTCGGGGTTGACCTTGGTGGGATGGGGGTTGACCTTGGTGGGATGGGGGTTGACCTTCATGGGTTGGGGTTTGACCTTCGTGGGTTGGGGATTGACCTTGGTGGGATGGACCTTCACCTTGGTGGGATGGGCCTTGACCAGACCCAGGGATACCGTCATGCTCTTGCTGCCCATTGTCACTAACAGTTGTCTCGGTTTGATTGGGCACTAAACCTGTTTCTGGGTTTGTTTCATTTTCAAACTGACCTTGTGACTTGACCTTTAAATAATCCTTTGTTCTGATCCTTATCTGCATAAACCTCTGTTGACAATCTTCAATCCATTCTTCCTCAGTTGCAAATTCTTCATCGCCATCCACCAACTGAATATATTCGTCGTGTTTTTCAACCAATTTCTTGTATAAATCTTCCAAATTAGCGAGTGATTCCTCAACTTCCGGTATAGGTCTCTCATTTTTCAATAAATAATCCAAGACATTTCCTGCCCTTGTAACACTCGATTTTGCACATCTCCGCTTCTTTTTCGCTTCGTTTAACGCTTCCTTCGTCACCTCCGTCATTTTCTGAATATCCTTTAAGCCCTGGTCAGCTAGAAATCGAATTTATGGCTCGCCAGAATCAGAAACGGAATGTAAAGTGACCACAAATAATTTCCAAATATCGTATAATAATCAGTTTTAGTAGTTAGTAGTAGTAATAATAATATTCGATCTAAAAGTATAAATACAAGAATTATCTACTGAATAAAGTTAATTAGTTATGATAAACAACATGAACTTACTTCTTTGGCCTATATCACTTTACAATACACCAAATATAAACCTATTTCTGAACGTTAAACCTCGAGTAAACAGCTTAAAACCAACGTGTTTATTTCCCGCTATTTTCTGTCACGTGACTGTGTCTGTTGAATGACGTAATTATTTACCTATTTTTAAATTAGCGAAACAGTACGTGTCGAGCTTTCTTAATTGAAAAGCGTGATAATGTACAGTATGAAATTATGCAATCCCTACTTAATCAGTGGTGGGAATCTCAGTCATCGAATCCTACATGCAACTTAACGCGAAATGCAGTTACAAGTTTACTAAAACTAGCAGAATCAGATGCAGAGAGAAAAAGATTAAGATATGCAATAGTGGGCGCCGCAGGTCTCTCCAACAAAAAAGCAGCAAAGGTGTACGGATTTGGAAACATGACGTCGGTCGTTTCAGAAGTAGAGGAAGCATTAAAGGAGGCTCAAGCAATTCGAAAGGTTATCGAGAAATTGGCAGAACTCAAAGATAAAGAGCTTATGAAATCTCTAGGAATTTCAAATGATGAGAGTAGCGAATCAGACAGCGGAGAAGAAAGCGAGACAGACAATGAAGGCAGTGATGTAGATGACAACAATCATGATGGAAACGGCTACAATAACGATGATGGTTTGGATTCTAATCGTCTCATTGCTGTGTTACAACAATGCGACTTTAACTGGCTGGAATTTGTGAGTCAGATTGAAAAGGATAAACCAAAGATTGATAAGAATACAATGGATAGTTTACTAGAAGATTTTGCTGCAGAACTGCCTAATCTAGGCGTTAGTGAACACAATAACAATTTAATTCAGCAATCACGACAGGTGTATCATGAACAGCAGTTATTACTTGAGCAACAAAATGACATTACTAATGGTATGATTGTTTCGGATGAGGAATCTGATAATCCTGAAGAATATCTTCATGTACGTGAACCATTGGACGATGCTGGTAGGACGTTAATAATGAAGAGAAGAGCTGCTATCCGTAGGAAGGCTAAAAGAGATATAAAAAAAATAGCAGAGAGGCGCTTTCTAATGCGCAGAAGAAGCAAGAGAGTTGGTAAAATTTTAAAAGATTACCCTGATATTGGGAAGACCATCGAAGAATTTGTCAAAAATTGTGGAGTTGGGGCTGACGCCTGGCGTAGAACAGGCATTTACACATTTGATGGTAATAGGCGTCAGGAAAAGAAAGTCACCTTTAAACGAATACAAGACCACCTGCAGTCGACATACCATCGTTCTTTCAGCTATGGGACAGTCGTACAACTCTGCGTTGCTCGGAACAAGCGCCGAAAATCTGCTATGAGATACAAAGGCTTAGCTAAAGGTGTTCAAAAAAGGGCTCGAAAAGGATTTACCATGAAGTATAACCCGGATGTACATTGGAGTGCGGCGCTCTATCGAGGATTAGATCATCTCCAATACACAGACGGTAGCAATATAGTAAATTTTGGTCGCGATGATCAGTCTGGATTTAGACTGGATACAATGTCAACACACAAACAACATGCAACACTTTGCCTCCGTGATGAGCCCCCCCTGACGACTTGCGTAGATTATGTCAATCGGTATCCATCTGTGTTACAAACTACGTCCTACAATTTTCCTGCGACAGAAACAACTGGCGAGGTCTGCGTTGGTGTGGTGAAAGCTCAAAAACTTTTCCCCAAGAATCCAGCTCAACACTATGCCGATCTTACCATGGTTGTTGAAGGGAAGGAAGAAGTGAAGCCAGCTTTCATTAACCATACAACGGGAAAGCGAAAGGCAGTTGAATGTATTCGTGTAGACGGCGCGGGAGACGAAGGTCTACTCCATGAAGAAGTGCAGTATTGGTGGACTAAACAGCATTTTGAGAGAGGAAGTAGAGCAATGCTTGTGTCAACCAGAAATAGTGGCTCAAGCTACAGAAATCGAGTCGAATTACAGAACGGTTGCCTGGCACTGGGTCATGCTAACACATTTATTCCACCAACCCTACATGGCTCTTGCATAGAGAATGGGCAAAGCAACGAAGAAATCCTTTTTAAAAATCTGCACACAGCAATAGATGTCTACATCAGTCGTGTTAATCATTCACCGTGTGCGGATACGGTTATCAATCTTTGGAAAGGTGCTGATAGCAGCTTACAGCAGGAAGAGAGGAAAGCAGTTAACATCTTTCTTAAGGGTAAAAAGGATGTGAAGATGCAGCTTCAGAAAGAACAGCCTGAGCTTTTTCAGAATATAAAGAAGATATGGAACCTTAGAACAAACCATATGACACCGAATCTTCCTGGTCAGTATTTGTTCTTTTTACAATGTTGCTACAAGAAAGGATGTGTCCATCCAATTTGTCAGACTGGTGTACAAGAAGAGATAGTATGGTATCCACAAGGTCCTCCAATAAACTATCTTCCTATTCCAACGCCAGATCCGACTAGACCTTATGGTAACAATCGGTGTGAAGAATGTAGTGGATTCTGTGCTGGTCATTACATGAAGCCCAATCAACTGATATCTCTGGCAAAAACTGCAGGAACGACGCCTATCTGCAAGCCACCATCCCAAGTTATTTTGGAATCATTTAAAACGAACAAAGGCATTCCAGATGAAAATGCTGTCGAAGCTCTTTCAAAGCAAGTATTGTTACCCGTTGATGAAGTAATGATGTGGTTAAAGCATCTCAAGACCGTACAGGAAAATCGAGTAGAAGGAGCTCGAAAAGCTGCAGCAACACGTAAAAATAACAGACCAACTGTTAGGGAAGAAGAAAAAGAAGATCAATGTTATGTATGCAACATGGAAGAACCGCCCAATTTTGATGGCGACGATGATGAAAGCATTGACTGGATTGAATGCGATGCATGCGCAAATTGGTTTCATGCCTTTTGTGTCGATTTGACTGGAATTTTACCAGACCTTTGGCATTGTCCATCTTGTAATTAAAGGATTCTATGCTTTTATGTTTACTATACCCATAAGGCGTTATTGTCACATTTACTGACATAATAATAATATGCTTGTCCTCCTAAACTGAAAAGAGAAAGGACTTGAATTTGAACAGGGAATACACAATGGAGGCGTACTAATACATACTCAATTTCCCCATTTGCTTTTAGTATAGCATATATAACACAACCTTGAAGTTCTAATTACTAATACATACTCAAACGCTTGAAATAATTTACACTGTAAGCTTAAATTATAAAGTGGTATTTCAGTTTAATGCTTTAAAAAAAACTGTTCATGTTGTTTTTGCAATCTGTGTATTGTTTTTTGTCTTTATGGACACCAGATCATCTAAAAACACTTATATATATTAACTATTAAAGTTTGTCATTCCAAGGAGCAAAACAAAAACGCATTAATGCTCATTCCGACTTCGAACAACCAGGGTATGGAATTGACTAGCTGACGAACTAAAAATCGATTGTTTTATTATTTGCAGTAGGGACACAATTTGGTGGTAATTAATAATTGTATGAATTGAACAATTTGTTGTGCCACAATCTTACCTGGTGACATTTGGTCCAAATTGACTAAGGTTTCCAGCCCCAGTGCCACAGGTCCAATGGGGAATTTGATCACTTTTGACTTAGATTTCCAGCCCCACAGTGGGGAATTTGATCACATTTGACTTAGATTTCCAGTCCCACAGTGGGGCTTTTGATCGAAAATTTGCACAAAAAGTCAAATCCCCCATATATGCCCGACCCCCCCCCCCTCTGGGGCTTAACATTGATAGGTGCATTAATATGGCGGAATACGAAATAGAGCCACTTAAAATGCTGTAGCTTTTTATGTATCCAAGCAAAACTCATGATACTTTGAAATATCATAAAGAAGAGGTTGTTCTTTGATCTAATTGTCACTACGAGGATGAGAAACGAATTTAAGCATGGAATTTGGCCATTGTCATACATCGATTAATTTCACCTCGGTCTTTGGCGAATAGTGATAAACATACAAAGTTATATAGCTTATGTGTGGTTAGTCCGATCGCCGTAAAATATGTTTTGAGTGATAAGTTGGTGATATTTCATGGTGTACAAAAGGATTAAGGACGTGAATGCCATGAACAATGAAGGAAATAAATCCAGTTCATCGGACCTTCTGTGAATCTG